CCTGGAGCAGAGCTGAGTTGCCCCAGTGTCCCTACAAGGATGTGAGTCCATATCAGCCAGTGGCCAGCTCATCCTCAGATGCAGGAGTAAGAACATCTGAGATCATCTGAGCCAGGTGAGGTCCACTGATCCCTAGTCTCATACTTCTGAGCTAATAATAACTGATTGCTATTTTAAGCTCCTGCATTTTAGGTGGTTTTTTGCTTGGAAGTAGCTAAAGAATGATATTAGGTAATCTCTAGATATTACAAGTGAAACATTGATTTCCCGTAATGGCATTTACAAATTCAGGATTGGGTGAAAGTACTTTTTCCCCATTATACCCTTTGTCCACTCCTCAACCCATTGTATTCTAGCTTTTGAACTCTTTCTACAAAGCTTTCGAGATATGTCAGCACTATTTGACACTATTGATCTCTATATGCTTCTTAATTTTTTTCTCTCTCCCTCTTTTCCGTGTGTGTGTGTGTGTGTGTGTGTGTGTGTGTGTGTGTTTATGGTTCCTCCTCCTCAATTTTCTAGAGTTTGTTTCTGGTTTATTTTCATTAGTTAATCATGAAACATGTATATAAATTATTCCTTGTATCTTCACTATTTTAATTGTCCCTGATAAAAATTATATAATGTGAACATATGTTCAATATATTAGTAATCACATTAAGTGTAAATAGACTGAATTACCATTAAAGGATGGAGATGGTCAGATTCAACAAGAAATCTCAAGATACTAAAAAAACTCTGGAATGATTTGGTATCTTCAGAGCATAGTCCCTTATTACAAATGCAATACAATTAAACACCATTGAAAAAAATATAAGTAAGTAAAGCAATACATTTGAAAATATAAAAACACACTTTATGTAGAATGTCCCTACATAAAGAAAATCAAAAATCAAAATCATAATAAAATTGATTGAACTATAATTAAAATATTATTAATTATAATTATGATATAGTGATAGTAATCATGACTTTGGAACCAATGCAGAGATAAACAAATGATGGGGGGAGAAACAGATTCATACCTATATTGCCACTAGATACATGAGATCTGTGGGGAAAGATGGATGGCTTAATAGAAAATTGTTTTTCCCATTAGAAAAAAAAGGTTGGATTTTCATTTCATATGATGCAGAATAGTTCCAGGACCTAAATATTAAAAGCAGAACTTTTACATTTTTATAAGAAACATACAGGGATTTAAGGACTTGGCAAAAGTAGGTTTATAGTTATGAATACTTACAACACAGTTTATTCTTGTATTATTATTCTATTATTTATTTGTGTTATTATTATTCTTGTTATTATTTTGTATTCTTACTTATGATTCATCTTTTAGGTAATGATGGCAGGCAATTTAACCAACTTTTACCCACTGCTGTAATTATGATATATTGTATAGCTTATGATCTTGATTAGTATTCTTATTGAGTCTGTGTTTTAAAAAAAATACTCCTATATAGAAAATATAAAGAATTTCTGTAACTCAATAAGAAAAAGGCAACCTTAAAAAAACTGAATAAATGAACAGAAAATCCATAAGAGAAAACTAGAGTTATTTAATAAACATAAAAATTTGTTAAATTTCACTAGTTAACAGGGAAATCCAAATGGTAGCACTATGAAACATTTCACACCAAGCATCATGGCTAAAATGAAGTATTCTCTTTACCCCAAGTTGTAAAGAATCAAGAAAGTTTATACATTGCTAGTGGGTATATCCATGTATACACTTCTTAGGATTTAAATTTGACTATATCTTGTTATTTTGAAGATGCACATGCAATACATCCCAGTAACCCAACTTATAATTTACTCTAGAGCAGTAGTGGGCATACTCCGGCCCATGGGCCAAATCCTGTCAGCTGCCTATTCTTGCGAACAAAGATGTGTGGGAACATACCACTCTCACCCATTTACGTGTTCCCTGTGGGGACTTTCACACAAGAGCAGAATGGAATAGTTGTGAAACTGACCATATGGCTGCAAAGCCTAAAACGTTTACTCTCTGTGCCATTATTGAAAAAGTTTGCTGACCTCTGCCCTAGACTAACTGCTACACTTTTGTACTAAAATCATGGTGTAACAATTTTTATAGCAGTATTGCTTATAATAGTGACAAGCTGGAAATCGAAAAATATTTAAGAGCAAGGAGTAAAATGAATATTGTGCAATATTCTTACAATAGAATATTGTGAAATGTCCTATGTAGCAGTGAAAATGAAAGTATGATGAGATGTATTGGCATGAATAAATCTCAACTAGGCAACTGAAAAAAGCGAGTGTCAGAAAAATATACACAGTAAGGTCCCATTTCTGTAAACGTTAACAATGTGACACACGATACATAGATGTGCATGGTAAATGGGTAAGTACATGTATGGGTGCGATACACCCCAAATTCGAGAAAATGATTTTCTCAGAGACTAAGGCAGTGTGATTGAGATGAAATAAACAGGAGAGGGGAGGCTTCAATAACATCTGGGATGACATTTCTGCTGCTGATGGTTAAAAGGTATTTGTAATATTCTTTATACTCTCTTGTACGTCGGAAGACAAAGTCAAAAAATATACAAATGAAAGCCATGGCCCCTTTCTTGACAATTTGCATTCCAGTTGGGAGGCAGAGGAACGAATGTATAATCTTGCCATAATGGAATGCTTTATCAGTAATAAAGATAGCTAGCGACCTGACCATGTATTTCCAGGCATTCAGGGGACTGGGAGTGTGGTTGTGAGTAAAGATCTTGGTTTGGGAGGATAAGGAATTTGCTCTATTTGAGGAGTGGTAAAGTGTGAGGATCATTAGAATTATCTAGAGAACAGCATGAATGTGCCTGGTGAAAGTGGGAGAAAAAGGCTCAGAGCACACTGGATATGTTGGCATGGTTCAACTTCATTCACTGTGAATGCTCAGAAACAAATGGTGTTGCCCGGTTGGCGAGTCTCACTGGTTGAGCATCGATCTGTGAACCAGGAGGTCAAGGTTTTATTCCCAGTCAGGGCACACGCCTGGGGATGACCGGGTTATGGGCTGGATCCCCAGAGGCAGCCTATCAATGATTATCTTTCAGCATTGATGTTTTTATCTCTCCCTTTCCTTTCCTCTCTGAAATCAATAAAAATATAACAACAAAACAGGAAAACAAATGATGTTCTTGATTTTTTTTTAAAAAAAGATCGCCTAAAATTTACTGTTTGGAAAACTTATGTGTTTCTTATGTGGTATGTCTGTAGGAGATGATTGCTATAGCAGTGAGTTCTAAAACCAATAAAACATACCATCATTTTAAAGAAATGGAAAAATGGAATTGGAAATTTTATAAGAAGATGTTAAATACATTATTTACCTGGAAAAGTAAATGTCATAGGGATTCGCATTCAGTTTAATTTTAGGGAACCACAGTTGGAAAGAAACACCTGTGTAAAAACTTATCATACCCAAGGACTCATTTCTTAATCTAGTTTTTTGTTGTTGTTAATTGAATTTCATCTAACAGAATTAAACCTTTAAAACAATGACTAAACCATGGAGAGTAAGGGTGGTTCGATTATGAATTTTCCTCCTAAAAATTAGGAGCACAGCCCAGAGCCACTTTCATGACCTATTCATGGCTCATAGTTATTATCTCCATCCAGTCCATTGTTGAGGGATTGCTGAGAATCATTTCCTTTCATTTGCTTGATTAAGATGTGCACAATGATTTGATATTTTCATAAGTGTTGGACCTTTTTAATCTGCCCTTTTTAAACTATGTTTTTATTGAGCCTCCTATACACACCCCAATGGTGACCGGGAATCATACTTATGACCTTTCATTGCACAGGACAACCAGCGACCAACTGAGCCACACTGGCCATGTCTAATCTGCATTTTTTTACACACACAGTCATACTTGAGTGAAATTGCTGAAGCATTTATTTTCTTCCATTTGATAACTGTGACATTGTGGCCAAAGGACAGTTATTGAATTTCCAATCTCAAATGTGTAATTGAAAATTTTAATTATTTATCATGTGAGTTTTTGCAAAAACATATATTACGTTGGTAATGATGACAGAAATGTGAACATCCAATAGATTGTCAGTATTAATCACAATTGTGAATTGTGTATCTCATCTAAAATGTGTACATTATATTATGCTGAGAAAGACAGGATAGAAAGTGAAAGGCAAGAAGGGAAGGAGGAAGAGGGAGAGAGGCAATGAGGGCGAGAGAGAGAGACAGAGAGAGAGACAGAGAGACAGAGAGAGACAGAGATTCAGCTAAAAAAAAATGCTGGAGAATGATAATAAAGGAATGGATCACAAACTGATCTGTATGAATAATTAATATTACATTTCAACCTGAAGGAGTTTAATTGTAAATTATTTGTATTTACATACAAATACAGTAACTTATCAAATTCAATAACTAATAACTTTCAAAGTCTTTTTATTACAACTGATTTCATAAAATAAACTGTCAAAATCGTTATCCCCTAATGCATTCTTGCTAACAATATGATATCTCACCATTTATTTTAGTATTTTATAAAATAAGATATTCTACCGTTTCTTTGGCAACAGAGATGATGACTCACACAGATCTGACAGTGCGTTTAATACTTGTTTCTTTTTTTTTTTTTTTTTGCTATGGAGAAGGCTCCCTGCTATTTCTTCCTTAAGACAAATGACAAAGCAATCCACCCAGACCCTGCCCCAAGGATGCCCCCTCTCCAAGTAGTTCTAAATTACAGGGTGAAGTAAAGCAGTGTGAACTGAGACCTTGTTCAACTGAAAAGACCAGATAAAGTATATTTATTTATTATCTCCATAATAAAATGTAGTTAATTGTGTAAGTACAAATACTTTATCCCAGAAAGGAATGATCTTTCTGATTCAAAATTTACTTCTATCAATGTATCTTTCTCTCTTTTGAAACTATATTATTGGTTGGAGTTTTGTAGTCCTTGTATCTACATTTATTGTTTCCCTAAGAATGTTATTTTATATTTCAGGAGTATACAATAGATGTGTTCTTCCGACAAAAGTGGAAAGATGAAAGGTTAAAATTTAAAGGTCCTATGAATATCCTTCGACTTAACAATTTAATGGCTAGCAAAATCTGGACTCCAGACACCTTCTTTCACAACGGGAAAAAATCGGTAGCTCATAACATGACAATGCCCAATAAACTTCTTAGAATCCAGGACGATGGGACACTACTGTACACAATGAGGTATGTTTGTAGGTTTACTGTGATGCCTTTAAATACTGAGTAATTCATGTATTAAAATACTGCTAACCTGGTTATCAAGGTCAACATTAGCACAACTCGAACATTGTCATAACAGATTATTGTAGTAGTTATAATATACTTTGTAATTGCATGCACATTAAAAAATAAACATGGAATGATAGTTATGAGTTCGATTCTCATTTTAGTGTGTAAAATTTTAAGAATTGCCTTTACTATTAAGGATTAATTTTTGGCTCTTTATCTTTCACACTTCATTTTAATTAAGTACAGTTTAAGAGCATGACTTCAATTTTTCTTTATACCAGGATGTAATTTTATTTTTAATATCTCATTATATAACCCATCAAAAAAGTTAAGTGATTTTTAAGCAAGCTTTTACTTCATTTAATATTCTGTTTCTCCTTATGAAGTTATTTTAAAGAAAATATATTTTTAAACTCAATTTTTATTTACCAAATCTTTGAAGTAAATCGGATACCTTAAACATATGTCTTAGATGGAACCATATGAAATTGCCATTTTGTAAATCAATAAGTGTCATGTAACATCAATTTCACTGATTCAACCTTTAAAAAATTAGCTAAAGAAATATACAGGTGTTGACACTATTATTCCATTTTAACTATTCCCATGAATTCATCTTTTAAAATGTTGGTATTATGTAAAAAAGAAAATCATCACAAATCTAATAAAATGATGTATATTCTAAAATTAAATGTTTAATAAAGTCTCTGAAGCATGGATGACTTTCATCAGCATTACCCATAGACAGATGTGTCTTACAGGCATTTGATGTATTTATTATTTCATATGAAATGTTAAGTGGTAGATTTCAATTGTGAAAAATTATTTGAGAATGGGCATTCATGCAGTCCTAATCTTTAAAGAAAAAGCTCTTTCGGGCTCATTACTAAATGACCATTACCTAAAATGAAAATGTTTTCTATTATCTCCGCCTTTTTCTCTAAAATCTTGAAAAACAGAGGCAATACTCCTGAGATTTTACACACTTTGATCATTCCTATGGATCAAACAATAATTGGAAATCTGGGGTTTAAACAAAATATAGAAAGAGAACACACATAGTTTTGGAAATATTGCCTGGGGTTATTCTTAAATACTAATCTATAATTAAATTGTTGATCACATTTGTTTTGCTCATTACAAGAGATTTTTCTGTATGTTTGATTTAGTTCATGTTTTATCTACTTTACCTTTGTGTGCCATGGAGTACTGAATAACTTTATTATAAATTTGCTGATTACTCTTTATTGTGATGAAGATACAGAAAAAAATTATATATAACATTCATAATTTAGCCAACAGTCTAGTCTCAACAAGCTATTTTTAGGAGATGCATCTATATGTGCATCTGTACCTATTTCTATATTTATATTCATGAGTCTAAATATGATACTGATTCAAAGTTTATGTAATCTTGAGGGAAGTTCCTGTGAACCAATATTGAATTCTTATATCAATTTTGTTATATGGTTGTTGATGAGATGATGGGGAAGAAAATGACATTGTTTTCATTATAGATATTTTTTTCATTTTTTCTCTAATATTTCAAATAGGAATGGTGAGGCTAATGGGAAAATAGCCCTTCAAAATGCATATATAACTTCTTTACTTTTTAACAAATCACAGACTAAAAAATGGTTAAGTATATTTGTAAGTAAATATTGTTACTTGAGCTCAGATTTTGTATTTGGCTAATGTCTTCTGCCGGATCATCTAAATGTGATAGAACAGAATCAGATTTCAATGTTAATTAACCAAAGATGCTATAATGAAAGTCCTACCTCATCATTAATTTTGTTGACAACAGTAAGGAGTGATTTATCCTGACTTGCCAACTTATTTAAACAAAGAGTGGGATTTTGACTTTTAGGCTTACAGTTCAAGCTGAATGTCCAATGCATTTGGAGGATTTTCCAATGGATGCTCATTCATGCCCTCTGAAATTTGGCAGCTGTAAGTATGGGATTGGAGTTACATTTTTTGGGTAAAAAATAGCAAAGATAGTCAGCAACACTGCTTAATGTTATAGTTTCTTCTCATATTATGCAATGCTTAATACTTGCCAGGTAGGATGCCGAATTAAAAGGCATGCTGATTTCCATCACAGAATTGGCTAACCCTATTGTACTCCCAAATATCATTATATTTGAATCATGGTGTTTCATTATCATTTACATTATTGCTAATAAAAAATTATATGTTTGCCTAAGTATGTAAGCTAGGTTAGGAGCTCCTTGAAGATCAGGACTATATCATTTACCTTATTTGCCAAATACTAGCACATTAAAAATGCAGCATCATTATAAAATGCTCCTGCACAGTAAAAGAAACCATCAACAACATGAAAAGGGAGCCTACTGCATGGGAGAACATATTTGCCAATGATACATCTGATAAGGGGTTCATTTCCAAAATGTATAAGGAACTCATACAACTTAACGAAAGGAAGACAAATAATCCAATAAAAAATGGGCAAAGGACCTAAATAGACACTTGTCCAAAATGGACATAAAGAAGGCCAAGAGACATATGAAAAAATGCTCAAAGTCCCTGAAAATGCAAACTGAATGTTTCATTTTTGTCAACTAAGAATGAATTCTAAGGGATAGATTCTATTGTTTATTAAAGTAGTTATCAGCCTGTTGCAAATGGCAGGCACAGATGTTGGATCTATGCAATTATCTTTCTGCTTTCTAACTAATGGAAAGTGTTTTTTTTTTTCTTATTTTCTTAAAATAAATTTGAAGGAGATGCTGTCACTGGATTGCTACATGCAGGCTCCTTCTGTGTACATAGAATATTTCAGAAATGGCTCTGTGCATTTGACCTTCTTTAGGTCACTGAGGTGATAGCTTGTATGTCAAGCAGAAGCATTTGCTCTCCCGGAATAATTGAAAAGAGGGAAGGTCAAGTCATCTCCTAGGCCCACGAGGCATTCAGGGCAGGTTCAGGATCAATTCATGGACACTACTAAAGAACCTCTCTCTGTGTGAACGTGTCCCATTGCATGACCTTTTCAGAAATTTTGCTCTTTCTGGCACCCCTTTCTTTGCCCATCCAGGTTAGCTTTTGACTTTTCCTCTTCGTGAATAGAAATGCAGTTCTCTAACATGATTAAAAATATTTCTGGCTGAGCAGTTGCCTTCTCCTCACAGACTGTACCAAGAAAAGGGAAGAATGATGGCATGTATGAATGACAAAGCCTCTAATTATTTTGATGACCATAGTTTTGTGGAATAAGTTCAATTTTGTTTTTTTCTGTCCATTCCTACAAAAAGTGTCAGCTCTCAATTTTCTTTGAGAATCTCTTCTTTGTTTAACTACAAAGCCTTCCTTTATTGTCATGGAAACCACCACTTCAATCCTGGCATTTTTCCCAAAATTATTTAAGATAGTCAATCATGTTACACAACGTAAATATGATGTTGAAAAAACTCAGCAGATGCGGTGGAGGAAAACTCATTTGCATTGCATAAGTGGCATTAAAGAGAACATTTTCAAAAGCCTTGATACCAAAGAAAGGGTTTAGTCACGATGCAGTAATGCTGGAAGAAGGAAAGGCATTTTCAGTGGACAAGTAAGAGCTAGTAAGACACCAAATATAACTGAGGTGATGTTACCATTCTGACTATGAAATAAATACACCTGAAATTATTTTAAGTGAAAATAACAAACTCTTAGCAGTGCTTCTACAGAGTAGTGGAATAGTGCATGCTTGAGAATATGGTTGTCTGTATCTAGAAGCGATATGGGCAAAACATAGAGTTTGTTGTTAGGCATTCTCTGTTTAATTGTTCTTAGGTAGTTTTCTTCATGTTTATTTTTGACACAGTAAATAGTCTTTTATTTATCCTTGCCAATGGTAGGCACTTGATGCATAAATGTTAAAGGAATGAACCCCAGAATGTGGACATAGACACACAGGCCAACCCGAACCGTAAGATGTTGGCACAACAAATATGGCAGAAGCAAGTCATGCCCTTTGCCTGTCTTGTTCCAAAGCCCCTTTGTTTTCCCCCCAAATGATGGGCTTTCTGGAACTTGAGCATTGTTCTGAAGTAAAAGAAGCATCTTTTCTATAAGCTTATACTTTTGAATTCAGTTTTTCTCCCTATTGCCTCATATTGTTATATATGCCCTCCCTGAATGGGCATCTCAGTGTATCTGTGCATTAGCCCAAAATAAATGGAAAGTTGTCTTTTTGCACAAAAATTAACTAAAGACTATCTTGGGATTTTGTTGGTTACCAACTACTAAGAATTAGTATGCATGTGATGTTAGATATACAGTAGCACTAAAAATGAGTTAACAGAATTAAATAAAATTATTTAAAGAAAATTTAGAGAAGGACTTTATAATGAAATTTGTAATATAAATTGTCTTTATCTCCTTTTATAGTTTCCTGAGAAACGTTGCTATGGCCTCCTGGTTTAGATGTGTGTTAGTGTACCAGGGAGTGCCTCTATTCCTCACTGCACAACTTTCTGCTCTGTCTTCTGTCTCCAGACCCCAAATTAAAAACAAAAACAAAAACACCCACATATTCCTATAGCAGTAATGAAATAATCTCTTTTGTATAGAAGACATGGGAAGGATCAGTCATTTTCTTTAACAGATTATTGTGTTCCTATCCAGATTTTTATATTTAATAATAAATAACAATCAAAACATTATGAGCATATTCATTAATCTGGCAAGAATGAATTGAAAACTTTTGTGTGTGTCAGGCATGGTACCAAGTGCTGAAAGTATAAATGTGAATCAGACAGAGTCCCTGCCCATCTATGTCTCACTAGGGTTTCATTTCCTCTTATTTATATTTAAGAGTAGCAACAGACTCAAAAGCGAAGTTGCAATTACTTTAAAAAAAGTTTATAATTTATTAAGACTCACAACTATTTGAGTATTGTAAGGCTTTCTGATATTAAGTGGTACAAGTGATGTGTCTTTGATTTATTAAATTATGTGCCATTTGAATTTTATTGAAAATAGGGCCATGATATATATATTCATGAGAGAACAAAACAAGCTACTTGATAATTTGCAAATGAATTGCTAGTTATCCACATTACTGATGTTACTTATCTAATCTTAGCAATCATCAATGGTGAAATATTTAAAATTTAAAAAAAATTTGAAGCTTAAAATAAGTAGAATTTATTCATATGTAAACTCTATAAATATATCTCTACTATTAAATATACTTATACATAAAATATATAGATATATAAAATCCTCTTTCAAAAATGATGTAATATGATTTATTGTGAATGTAGATGAATACATGTACAATGAAATCAGTGTTTAACAGATATTAACATTTAGTAACGACATTCAGAAAACTATTAAAAGACCACACAGAGATAGATTCAAACTTATATTCTTTTTACTGTTACTGAAGTTTAAATGCAAATGGATTTATGATCCCAAACTTTGGATCAAGGTGAGGACCACCACGTCCTGGATAGTTAGAGACAGAGATGTTGGCAGAGACAGCTGGTCCTTTCTCTCCCTTCATTGAGAATGTGAGCAGGGTGGTGAGTTTTGCTCAAGGTCTAGAAGCAATTGAAACAGCTGGTCCTTTCTCTCTGTTAATTGAGAACGTGACCATGGCACTGAGTTTTGCTCAAATACCAGAGGTGACTAATATTTCAAAACATTCTCATGAGCAAAAGTGCATAGAATTTCTTCACAAGGTCAGTAGAGGAGCAAGAGTTATCTGTTTATTCAATTGTGGAGAGACTGCCTGCATAGAGAGCTCAGCTGCTCCCCCACCAGGACATACAGGAGCAAAGGAAATGCCAGGGTCATAGGACAGCTAAGATAAGGCACGCTGCTTGCCCTCCGGTTCTAGAGTCATCTCACTTGTGCTAAATTCTTCCTTGGCCAAATAAAACAGGAAATTATACCTGGTCTGTATGTCTTTAATCTTTTCTTACCAATCCATAACTTACCTGGAAGGCAATGAAAGTAGAGTCCAGTGAGATCTGGGTGTATAAATTAATTTTAAAATGAAAATGTTGTCCTAACTGGTTTGGCTCAGTGGGTAGAGCATCAGCCTACGGACTGAAGAGTCCCAGGTTCGATTCCGGTCAAGGGCATGTACTTTGGTTTCGGGCACATCCCCAGTAGGGGTTGTGCAGGAGGCAGCTGATCAATGTTTCTCTCTCATCAATGTTTCTAACTCTCTATTCCTCTCCCTTCCTCTCTGTAAAAAAAAATCAATAAAATAAAATAAAATAATAAAATGAAAATGTTTTAAAAAGCATTTACAACTTGAGGAAATTATATCATTCTCATTTATTTTACATGTTTTGCAATAATCAGTCCTCATCTTTCTAATGAAATGCATTGTATCATGTATGATAGCTGTCATTTAATTTTTAATGAAATTAATTTATGTCTAGAAAGCAATATTATTTTGGATTATGATTGTCATTTCATGAGTGAGTGTTATTTCTAAACTAATTACCTGAGCCATGGCATTCATAATCTGTTTACCACAGTGACTTCTACCACCTTGAGACTATGGGAGATGTTTTTATTATCTCAAGGCCCACTGATTTTTGCAGACTCTAAAGATAAATGTGTTCTTTACCTCTCAAAGTGGTTGCAAAGAAAATAGTCTCATGATCTTGTTTGTCTCTCTTTATTTGCTTCACACCCTTCATATTGAAGCTGTAAATTTCAAAGGCACGTTTTACCCTAAAAAATATGATCTGTAAATATCAACAATGATTTATTTTAGTCAACAATTATTCTATGAAGTATACAACTTTTGATGTTGCACTTTACTGATGGTTCTTACTAAAATGATAAAAACAGATCTTTTTTCTGATCTCCTACAGATGCATATACAACCTCAGAGGTCACTTATATTTGGACTTACAATGCATCTGATTCAGTACAAGTTGCTCCTGATGGCTCCAGGTTAAATCAGTATGACCTGCTGGGCCAATCAATTGGGAAGGAGACAATTAAGTCCAGTACAGGTTAGTAAAATAAGTCTAAAGAAAAGTTAGTTAAGAAAATTAATGGGTTAAAGTCATTGGAAATGACCCAGTTTGTTTAAAACCTTTTGTTCTTGAGGTCCAAGAGCTAGCATTATAGATTGTGCATGAGGTTGTTTTTTTGTTGTTGTTTTTTTTTTTAGAAATTCAGAATCTCAGGCTTGACCCCTTATAAATTTAGGATCTGTATTTTAACAAGATTCCAAGGAGATTCCTTAGGTGTGCATTGAAGTTTGAGAAACACTAGTATAAAATATACTTCATATTAAAGAAGTGTGTATCTTCTCAGTCAAGTCAATTTTACCTTCAAATAGCATTACCACTCCCTTAGTGTTCCAATTCCTTTCCCTTTATTTTAGATATTTCAACTCTTGATGACAGATCACAACTGTTGGCCTATGTGAGAAAGCTGATGTGCTTTCTAAAGGCCACTCTCCTCTAGGGAAAGGCAGCTGTGTGGATTAATGAGCTTACATCCAGCAGATGTCAAGACAGGGAGCAGGAAGGAAGGCAGTGAGGATGGGATAGAACTGACTGTAGAGAATGAGAGCAGAGATACAACATTGAGAAAATCAGAATTGGTGACAGGGTCAGCAGTGGGAAATCTGGGCCAGAAGATCAGCCTTGGAGATGTGGCTAGCGATCAATCTTTTAAAAAAACAGAGAGACCTGAACTTGAGGTTGGTACCAGTGGGGATGAGGGGCCTGAGAGCATTTGTTAATCCTGTACTCCTTTGGTCAATAAGTATGACCTAGAGAGAAAATCAAATGCTATACCATAGACATGCCGAGCAAGTTTCTTGGTACTATTAAAATCTTCTTTTAAATACTCTTGCTGAGCTAAGGAGGCATTTAAAAATTATAAACTTCTCATGTCATATATGTGATAAAGGCTTTTTTTTCAAATCAGAGACTGTTCTTTCTCTAATCTGTTCCATTTCCATTTCCAAAATGTGCGAACTATTGCCTATTCCAGTTCCTTAAACTTCTTACCTTATTTTTCTAGGTGAATATACCGTAATGACAGCTCATTTCCACTTGAAAAGAAAAATTGGGTATTTTGTGATTCAGACATATCTGCCTTGCATCATGACTGTCATTCTCTCCCAAGTGTCATTCTGGCTTAACAGAGAATCTGTGCCTGCAAGGACAGTATTTGGTGAGTGAATAACTACACGCTTCACTGTACAGCACATTATGTTTCATTGCGTACTTTCAAAAGCATTCTCTCTCTTGGTACTCACACCAATAGTTTGTAGTGTGTGGGGAAGCGGGTATTTGCTTCATGTTACAGATGAGGAAACTGAGGCTCAGAAGGTAAATTACAGAGTCCTTGGTACTCATCTATAATAATAAAACCATAATATGCTAATTAGACCAAACATCTTTCCGTATGTCCTTCCAGACGACCTACTGGACAAAGCCAGGGCTGGGAGGGAAGCCCGGGTCCTGGGTGCCAGGGGGACGCTGGTGCTGGCAACCGGAGGAAGGAAGGCCTACTCTTGCACGAATTTTGTGCATTGGGCCTCTAGTAAGGAATATGAACAGTACTCAAATCTTCGGGAAGTACATTCAGTCTACTTTCTGTTGAATCATTTTGCTTCTCAACATTTGTCTCTATGTTAGTATAAAGAGAATATTGTTAGAAGTTTTAACTTAGAGAAGAACAGTACCACATTTATAGACTTTCTATGTTTATTTTTTTGTTTGATGATCTTAGGACTTTAAGTTAGAGAGTGAAAGAGAGAAAGAGACTCATCTCATATACTACATTAGTGTGTTTACTTGCGTATTTAATATTCTTTAAACATTTTTTATGTATGTTTATATTTAGTCCACACCATATTTCCAAAAAGATGTGAGATACCTTAAAATGTATAAACAAGAGATTGTAAATACAGTTTTACATGATGCAAAGAAAACTAAAGGCCAAAAAGTAAAATAAAAGCAGAGATAGGTTATGTTGCCTGAAAGACTAGGCATAATTAACCAATATTACAGATGAGCAAACTGTGTTGAGGAGAGCTTAAATGACCTTCCCAAGTAAGGTTAGGCTGGGACCCAGATCTAAATTTCCTAACTTTTAGCCTAGCACTCCCTTCTGATGCACTAGATGCCAGGGCAGGAGAGATGCAGAGAAAGAAGGATGGTTCATTGTAAGCTTTTTTGTCTTGAGGTTCAATTTCTTCTGCTGCTTGCTGGCTCCCCAGCGCCCCTGCCAGAGCTGATGCCGTCATCCACTGCCCCACCTCATCCCCACTGAGTCTCATTAAGACTCGCTTCTTAAATAGCATAGTCATTCTATGCTTTCATCACGAAAATCACCCAATTGGGTTTTTAGGTCCCTCAGGGACTAATTCTCGGCCAACTAAGGACCAGCTGAGGCAAATCATGGACCGAAGAACATAATTTTAGGGAATGATGTTCTGGCCTCAATAAAATAAAGATCCTTCTAATAACAGGCCTTTCTCTACCCAGAGTGGGCTGGGTGTGTGAGGGGAGGCATGGGTGGGTAGCAGGCTGCCATCTCTGCAGCAATTCCCATACGGGTTTTTGTTTTTTTTAAATACATTTTTATTGATTTCAGAGAGGAAGGGAGAGGGAGATAGAAACATCAATGATGAGAGAAAATCATTGATTGGCTGCCTCCTGCAAACCCCACACTGGGCATCAAGCCGCTACCTGACCAGGAATAGAACTATAATCTCCTGGTTCATAGGTAGACGTTCAACCACTGTGCCAACACCCCCTTCTCCCCCTCCCGTCCTGGGTCCCATACAGGTTTGGTGCCCACTTGTCAGGGACAGGCTGGCCAGGGGTCTCCTTGGCCTCTACTGGTTGGATCAGATGTCTATGATCTGCTTCCAACACCTCCAGATTTTAGGGAGACTTTTGTATTGGTGTTTTCTCACAGACTTTACTATGCATAAATATAACATAAGTAAATGCAAATTAGCTTAAAAACCAATTAGGTACATTTACACAATGGACCACAACTCGGAGGTACAAAAGAAAGAAATCCCACCACCTACAACAGCATGGATGGGTCTGGAGAGCACCACGCCAAGAGCAATAAGCCAGCAAGAGAGAGACAAGACCCCCAGGACCTCACTCATGCATGAGAGCTAATGAACAAAACAAACAATAAACTCATTAAGGCTCTTTCCATTCCAGACCATAAAGTATTTCCGCCCTTATTATTAGACTTATTGTGGAAATGGCCATGCACTAGTAGATGCCTGTGGCAGTCAGGCCCCTGTGGCTGCCTCTCCAATAATTCCCAGCTGAGTCATTGCTTCTGGCGATAGTAGCTCCCCTAGAGACAGTGCTGGGCAGGGTTGCTGCTAGTCATGATAGAGGCTACCTCTCCCCACAGAAGCTGCCTGTCAAATAGTGTCTTCCTCTTGTGGTGCTGGCTGCCTGGTATGATAGTGGCTGCCTCTCTCCTTGGTGCCTCTGATGATAGCTCATTGGTAGAGCCTTTGGCTGCAGATCAAGAGAGCTCCGGTTCAAATGTCATTTTCTTCATTTAAACCAAGCAGGAAAATTTGGTGACTGCTCTTCGGATATATGAGCTAGGCTGAGCACATTTTGTGATAGGATAAATTACTTTTCTGTATTTGGATCACTCAGTCATTTACAAAAGTTTCACTGAGGATCTGCTGTGCCAGATACTGCACCAGGCCCTAGAGTGGAGGGCAACTAAATAAGCTGAAAAGATGATGGCATGGCAAGGTGAAGGCACTATAAAAGAGGCATGTGCAAATTGTTACAGAAAACAGCAGCTTAGATCTAGGAGAATTGATTCAGTAGCTGAGATAACATTTGAGCTAAATCTTGAAGGAAGAGTAGAAGATCCCCAGACAGATGAGCTGGGGCAAGAATCCTAAGCCAGAAATGATAGATTGTGTAATGACATGACATCAAGGAGTGAAAGAACATAGTGTGTTTGGTGACCGTGAGTTGTTTCAGTGTCCATGGAGATACATACAGATAGAAGTGTATAAGAAAGTGTGTAAGTCATGTCAATACAAGTTATCTTTATCTTGTAAGCTATAGGAAACCACCATAGATAGTGTTTTGGGAAGATAGACATGTGTAAAACTCTTAGAACAATCTTGGTATTTAATATATTCTATAAACCTGTTAGCTATTCTTATTATAAATGCAAAAAATCAGTTTGATTCTCAATAATGAATAATTCAAAAGGAAATTAAGAAAATAACCCCATTTACAATAGCATCCAAAATAATAAAATACCTAGGAATAAATTTAACCAAGTAGCTGAAAGACCTGTTCGCTTAAAACTATAAAACTTTGCTCAAATATATTAAAGAAGACCTAGTTAAAGGTAAGATATCCCATGGTCATGGATTTGTAGACAATACTGTTAAGATGAGAATAGTCCTCAAAGAGATATATAAATTCAATTCAATAACTATCAAAAGTCAAAAATGACCTTTTTTACATAAAGGGCAAAAGCTGATCCTCAAATTTATATCCAACTGCAAGGGGGCTCTAAATAACCAAAATAATATGTTTTTTAATTTTTTAAATTTTAATTTTTTATTGTTGACACTATTTCAGATGCCTCTATTCCTCCTCCTCCCCTGACAATATTAATAAATTAAAACAAAGTTGGTGGACTTTCCAGTTTCAAAACTTAGTATGAATCTACCTTAATCAACAGTGTCATAGTGGCAAAGTCATGGGCATATAGATCAATGGGATAAAACCAAGAGTCCAGTAACAAACTCAAATATATATGGCAAATTGATTTTCAACAAGGGTGCTATGAACATTCTATGGAGATGTAGAGGTCTCTTAATCAAATATTGCTGGGACAGTTGGAAGACCATCATATGCAAAAGAATGAAGTTGGAACCCTACCCCACTCCAGATTCAACAATACACTCCAATGGATACAAAACCTTCATGTGACATCTAAAACTATAAAACTATTAGAAGAAAACATAGGATAAATCTTTATGACCTTGAATCCAACGATGGTTTCTTAGATTTGACACAAGAAGCACGAGTAACAAAGAAACAATAGAAACATTTACTTAAATTAAAAATTTTGTACCTCAAAGAACATTATCAACAATGTGAAGAGAGAACTTACATATGGTTGAAAATGTTTTTCAAATCATGTACCTGACAAGGATTTTATATCCTGAATAAATAAAGAACTCTTACAACAACAACAACAAAAAGACCAAAAACTAGATTTCAAAAATAGACAAAGAATTTGAATGGACTTTTTACAAAAGAAAGTATATGAATGGCAAACCAGCACAATAATTAAAAACAGAGAAGAAAAGAATAGGACAGACTTGATATTCCAGAAAGACCCAAATTTATATGTAAATGCATGACAAGTCAGACAAAATGAAATAATAAGGTACTTGTTTGGTCAATGTGAGGAAAATAAAATAAAATTCCATTGAGGTAAATAGAGATTTTGTAGCATGAAGCACATAGATGAATATGCTAAAAGGAGAAAGTAGAGGACTCTATCTGTCTGTAGAGGAGAGGTAAATAGAAGAATAAGTATTTAACTTTGAATCAGCAGAATGTGTTAGCATCAAGGCTGCTAGGTTTATCTATGACAAATGTGCAAATTTTTATATAAATTATTTATAATATAGGTTTAAGGGTCAAAAAGTCACATTTTCATGCAAATTTAGGCTGTTAGATGGTAAAATTATCCTTAGTATTTTCTCTGCAAGTTATTCTGTGTAAGCTTGTAATAAACATAATTCCATGTGACGTGTGTGTGTGTGTGTGTGTGTGTGTATGTGTGTGTGTTCAAATAAAAGATAAACACAAATTTTATTTTCTGTTTAGAATGGGTCTTGAAAGAAAGATGCTTGCCTGAGCTCCCTTTTTCTACAACCATATTCCATTCTTTATTGTTTTCTTTCTCCTTTTGAGTTTGAACATCATCATCTGACTGATAGATAGCTGTTACCTAAGCAACATTTCTATTTTCTCCAAGATTCTCTCTCTAATTTCCCAGTCATGTTTACAAGCTCATGAGAGATCACTGAATCACCTGCCCTCCTCCTGCCTCCAAGGCTTTCTGTGATGAGTAACCCACCCCAGGAAAAAAACTATTACCGTTAAGAAATTAATATGCTCTGGGAGACAGATGTC